GCTAATAAACTATACACTGCTGGCCTCATTAGTGAAGGGGTCAAAGAGAAATGTACAATGGAAGAGTTTTTAAGTGAATTTAGGGCTAGTCTTAGAGTTAAGAGGAAGTTGCCACAAATAAAGGATCACTGCCAAAAGTTCCTAAGCTCATTCATTGCTGTAAGAGGCAGTTATGCTAATACAGCAAAAGATTTAGGTGAGGACTGGATTGAAGCTATTAAGAATGAACTGGGACTTGATTTTAATATTGATATTGATTCTTAATAATAGTTTTGATTAATTTTATTGCTTTTACCTTTAAATTGCTTATTTTAAAGCAATATTTTACATCAATTTTTATTTTAAAAGATTTAATTAATTTAAGTTCCTTGTTCACACCTCTTCACATCTTGTTCACACCTTCATAATGCATGAGACAGGAAATTGATTTTTAATTTTACACAGCCAAGAATTATCATCTCTGATACAGGCCACTACCTAAAATCAATGATTCAAGCCTGATGTCTATTTTGATACAGCCCTGACTGGCATCAATGTTGATTCATGTCTGTTGCTCTGACTGAACCAGGGCCGTACTCCAGCATGGTTGTATCATGGATGGTTATCATGATTGTATCATACTAGACTCATTGCTTTGCAGGCTGCCCAAAATCCATGATACAGGAATGTATCAGGCTAATCCTGATTGATATCAGTCATGATTTAAATTAGAATTCTTGGCTGTGTACAAAGCAAGCACTATCGTCATTATAGCATGACTATATAGTCCAATGGCACTTCAACTTATACAGATACACCACATTTCAGATATCATTATAATTACATGTGTGTGTTGCATGTAAAGTACACTAACTCCCAAGTACATGAACTGATCAGTAGTAGTAAAATCCTTAGCAGATCTTCCTAAAGTACTCGGAGTTAGGGTCTCAACTGTACCCTAACAATGACAGACAATTTTACATGTACATGTATATGTGTAAATTATAAATTGAGTGCATATTGCAACATGCATACACTTATTGCCTTATTTGGGTAGTATGATTTAATTGTTTATTTATTATATTAATTGGTAGCGATGGAAGGTTGTCTTAAATATTTATTATTACAGCTATAGGGCTATAGGATAAATAGCATTAAAGGGTAACTCAACCCAAAATTTTTTTTTGCAGAAATAAGTTAATAATAAAGAAAAAATCATATGAAAAATAAGTAAAATTATCAAAAAGTACTGTTTCCATACTAAATCTTGGGTCAAAAGTTGCAATTTCTTGCCTTGCAGCCATTTTATCAAAATCACTTCCGGTTGTGGGCGTGGTCACGCGATGACGTACATGGGGGAACATTAGCAAGTTTCTGCATTGAAATATTAGCAACTTCAAGGCTGGATATCTCAGCTATGCATGCAAGAAAGCAA